GAACACTGAAAAAAAATAATATGGTGAATCAAAGTAACTGGCAGATTTTTCAATATGTGTGTGTTCATTCTGTGTATACCTGTGTGGCTCAGTTCAAATGGGTAAAGTTTTGTGCATTCACCTAGAGTTTCTTGTGGATTCAATTGCTTATCAATCTGTGAAATTTATATCATTCTTAAATTGTTCCCTAATATATAATATGGGAACAAATTTTTCTTTTCATAACAGTTGGTATAGCAAAACTTGACCATTTCTTTCTTAGGCCATAGTGTCTTTTCAGTTTTTTAATGGTGTCTTCAAAGAGGAAAGATTCTAATTTGATCAAACCTAATTTATCTTTTCAGAAAAATTAATGACGTGGTCACAGCTTTTTCTCTGTTTCCTTCTAGAAGTTTTTTTTTTTTTTAAATAAAATATTTTATTTATTTATTTGACAGACAGAGATCACAAGTAGGCAGAGAGGCAGAGAGAGAGGGGGAAGCAGGCTCCCCGCTGAGCAGAGAGCCTGATGCGGGGTTTGATTCCAGGACCCTGGGATTCTGACCTGAGCTGAAGGTAGAGACTTTAACCCACTGAGCCACCCAGGCCCCCTCCTTCTAGAAGTTTTGTATTTTTAGTTCTTACGTTTAGGTCTGTGATTTATTTCTAGCTTTTATTTATTTTGTGCCACATAAGGTCAAAAGTTTTTTTTTTTTTTTAACATAGGTAAATGCTCCAGCAGCATTTGTTGCAAAGACAATTCTTGCACCCAATGAATGAACTTTATGCCTTTGTCAAAATCACTTGACCATGATGTGTAGGTTTGAACTCTTTATTATGTTCTATTGCTTTTATTATTTTACCTATTTATTACGATTTATGTTTTAAAATTTATTTATTATAGATATATCTCTGTATCTCTTATGTGAAGAACACATTACCTTGACTAATGTAGCTTTATAGCAGATTTTGAAATCTGTTGTTGCTACCTGTTTTTTAAAATAATTACTTTGACTTTATATGTATTTCCATATAACATTTGGTCTCAATTTTACATGTGTTTGTATGGAAAAGTATTAAAATTTTCTTAAGGGGGAAAACAATCTTAGAAAATGAATGAAAATTAAAAAAATAAGTAGTAGGTTCCAAATTACTCTGTTCTCATCTGGTTTTCTTTTTTTTTTTTTTTTTTAAGAGATTTTATTTATTTATTTATAAAATTGAGAAGCTTGAGTAGAAATTAGGCTGAATTATGTTTAGTAACAAGTGATTTTTTTTCAACATCCTTTTTCTCACTCAATTTGGAATTCAAAGCAAATTAACATTATCTTTGTTTTAACTGAATATTGCCAGTATAAAAAATGAAAGAAGTACCTTGACATTCTTAGTTTCTTACTTAAATGGCATATATTTCCAACTGGAATTACCTCTCTGGTTTTCTTTCTTTCTTTTTTTTTATTAGATTTTTTCTAAATTTATTCAACAGAGAGAGAGAGATCACAAATAGGCAGAGAGGCAGGCAGAGGGGGAGAGGGAAGCAGGCTCCCTGGCCCAATGCGGGGCTCGATCCCAGGACCCTGGGATCATGACCTGAGCCAACGGTGGAGGCTTAACCCACTGAGACACCCAGGCGCCCCTACCTCTTTGGTTTTCTATCATCTTGAATTCTTCCTTTGAATTTTCTGAAGGCTGGAACATAGTCTCAGATGCTGGGACCAAATCTGACCTTTGGGAGCAGGGTGGAATGAAGGGTGGGAATGAAGGGTAGGAGAAGGATTTCAATGGTTTTAGTTAGTCTGTACTTAAGGGGCTCAGTATCAAGTCAAATCTCACAATGACCTTTTCCCCAGTTCTAGTAACTAGCTTTCAACTTTCCTTGTACACAATTCTAGCAACCAAATTTCTATCTTATTTTCCTCATACCTACATCCTCATTCTAACAAGTCTTTCACTCCACACATTAAAACCTTGCTCCTGTACCCCAGCCTCAGTACCAATTTGTAAACTGACCTACCTATAATTATGTGTGGGCCTGTTTGGATCTCTAATGTTCTTTGCATCTAGATTCCCACTGCACTGCTCCTTCTAGGAAATGGCTGTCCTCTGCCAGTGATGTAAGCCACTTGCGTCAACTGCCAGCTGCTTTCTGACCTACACCTACACATGCCTCTGTGTAGCATGCTCTGCCTGGCTGAACATCCTCCTGTCATTCCCACTTAAGTTTACCCTGGCCTTTCACTTGTCCTGTCACAGTCAGGAGAGAGATATAAAGAATTAAAATTTGTAAATGTCTGACACCCTTATTTTGGTACATAAAAAGCATAAGATTAAGAATAAAACATGTTGAAAATAATCACTATAACACTATCATCTCTACATACAGACTTAGAAAGTCTTAATGAGATGATTGTGCCTGCTAATATGGCCAACTATCAAAGAGACTTGTAGAAATTTGCCACTCATTCATTATACATTTGCTGAATGGAATGCAAACAAATCAAGAGAGACCTGTGATGTTTCTTGGAATTAATATAGGTACACGGGAAAAGAGTTTTTAAAGTTTATGAATACTGTTACTTATAAAAGTCAGAATAGCCAAAGATAATGACCTTACCATTTTTTAAAAAGATCTATTTATTTATTTGAGAGAGAGCATGCAGTGGAGAGGGGTACAGGGAGAGGGAGAGAGAGAATCTTAAGCAGGCTCCATGCCCAGCTCGGAGCCTGATGTCGGGCTTGATCTCAGGACCCTGAGATAGGACTTAAGCCAAAATCAAGAGTTTGATGCTCAAACGACTGTGCCAACCCAGTGCCCTGATAATGCCTTATTTTGATGAATTTTGTGAGTGTAGTTTATGTCTAATGGGGTGAACCCCAGTGCTATTCATAAGAGACTACAAAGTTTTGTGTTTTTTGTTTGTTTTTGGTTTAAGATTTATTTATTTGAGAGAGAGAGAAGCAGACTCCCCTCTGCGTACTGAGCCTGATGCAGGGCTTGATTTCAGGATCCTAAGATCATGACCTGAGCTGAAACCAAGAGTTAGGTGCTTAACTGACTGACTCACCTAGACACCCCTAAGAGACCACCAAAATTTTAAGAGGAGTGTACTTTCAGAAACACTGCCTGCTTGGACTAAAAGGGACCGAGACAGTTCAACATAAAAAAGAGGCTTTGGACTTCCAAAATACTATTTAGAGGAAGCAGGCTGATAAAACTACTTAGCTGCAAACATAAACAGTTTTTTATGGAAAAGAATGATGAAGGGGGTTGAACCATGAGCTCAGAGGTAAAGATATATAGACATGCTGTGCTGCATTCCTAGACAGAAGGCCTGCATCAAGGGACCTTCAGTATATGCCTGACTGGATTTCAGAATTGTTATTGACTGGTAACTCTTGTTTACCTCTCTTTCATCCCCTTTCAATAGAAAATTCTATAATAATTGCCTTCTGCCTCTCATACCATTGCATTATGGTGTGCAGAGGATATATAACCAAAGTCTGTAGTTTCCCAGATCCTCAGATTGAGAATAGTTATACTTGAGGAGCTGTGCTTGATAAATAGCATCTGGAGAGCTTCATACACACTTGGATGAGACTCTGGACTTTGAACCTGTGTCTGGTGCCATAATCGGTGAGACCTTTGCCGGGGCGGGGGGGGGGGGGTGTCTTAGGAGGTGGAGACTGTAATTTGCAGCGGAAGGAATATAAGTAATTCGAGGCCAGAGATTGACTCCCCTTCCACAAACAATGGGCTCTAATTGTTCTCCTCTTGATATGTGTGAGCCTTGATTACTTACTTCTAACAAACAGAATGAGGTAGAAGTGATGCTGCCTGTCTTCCAAGATATGAAAAGTGATACAGTTTCCAGGTGATGCTCTCTTTTTACCCCGCTTTCAGGACACATACCTTTGCTGCCCTGAGCTGCCATTTAAGAAGTCTTGCTGCTACTAAACCTCCATGCTGGAGAGACCATGTGGAAAGACCAAAGAGGGTAAGATGCCTGAGGAGTCCCAGTCTTTGGGTCTTCTCAGTCTGGACACTAGATGTATGAGCAAATGAACTGCTTTTAAGCAGCCTCAGCCAAGAGTGTAGAGAAATAAGCTGTCCCTGCTAGCCATGCTCATGTTGCACATTTGTGATCAAAGTACGTTGTTTTAAGCTACTAAAAATTTTGAGGTTATCTGTTACATAGCATTAGGTAACTGAGACAGTTCATATTTACAGGTCTTACTCTCCTCACTGCTACATTTACTGATAAGAGCTAGAACCCTGTTTTGCAATATATTTTTTAAAATGTATATGGCCTAAAATAGTGCTTTTCATACAGTGGACACTCAGTAAAGCCAGCTGGTTCTGTAAAATGTATTGAAGCACAACCAGACTACATGTAACTCTTTTAAGGCAGCTTCATTAGAATGAACTAGCATTATAGCTGTTATCACTTCACACTTCTTTAAACCTTTGTTCTTGTTGCTTTGCTTACCTTAGTTACTGTCTGACTTTGGCTCTAGTTCACAATTTTTTTTTTTGTTTTTAAACAGAGATCACAAGTAGAGCAGCAGGCACAGAGGGGGGAAGCAGGCTCCCTGCTGAGCAGAGAGCCCGATGCAGGGCTTGATCCCAAGACCCTGAGATCATGACCTGAGTCAAAGGCAGAGGCTTAACCCACTGAGCCACCCAGGCACCCCTCTAGTTCACAACTTTTATATCTCATTCACTTCATCTTGATTTTGACTCTTTAACCTAACTTTTGCCTCATGACCTGATAGTGATTATAACTACTAAAATGTATTGACCTGTATGTAAATTTTATAGCTCAAGAGCCACTGTATCCCCTGGAAATACTGCCTAGTACATTTACATAAGAAAATTAGTAATCATTTGTGGATTGACCCTACCTATGTGAAAGACACTGAAGTAACTTATGTGCACTACCTCAGTTAATCCTCACAACAATATTATGAAGATTATCCCCATTTTATAGATAAGGAGATTGAACTTTAAATTGCTGCTTTAGGCTTCAAAGATGCCAGGTCTGACCGCCGCAAGCCCTGCCCCGTCTGACTCACAGGAGAAAAAGCCGCTGAAGCCCTGCTGCGCCTGTCCGGAGACTAAGAAGGCCCGCGATGCTTGCATCATTGAGAAAGGAGAAGAACACTGTGGACACCTAATCGAGGCCCACAAGGAATGCATGAGAGCCCTGGGATTTAAGATATGAGATGGTTTACTCTGTGAATGAATAATTCCTGAAGAATGAAGAAGATTCAGTAGTTGTGAGAATTCTTTGAGGAACTTTGATAAATGGAAAAAGTATTTATAATTTATTGAAAAAAAGGAAATATCTCTGGTCAAAAAAAAAAAAAAAAAAAAAAAA